CATTTTCCAAAATGGTTGTATCATTATACATTCCCACGAGCAGTGCGTAAGAGTTCTGATCTCACCGCAGCTTCTCCAAAATTTGTTATTTCCAGGTTTTTTGATTTGTGCCAATAATGCCAGGGTAAGATGGTATCTCATTGTGCTTTTAATCTGAATTTCTCTAATGGCTAGTGATTGCAAGCATTTCCTCATGTGTCTGCTGGCCACATGAATGTCTTCTTTGGTGAAGTGTCTGTTCATTTCCTTTGTCCATGTTTTAATTGGATTGTTTGTCTTTTTGTTGTAGAGGTATTGGATTTTCTAGTAGATTTTAGAGGTTAGACCTTTGTCTGACTTGTAATGTCCAAAAATTTTTTCCCAGTCTATCGGTTCTCTTTTTACTCTTTTGGTGAAGTATTTTGATGGGCATAAGTGTTTAATTTTTAGAAGATCCCAGTTATCTAGCTTATCTTCTGGAGTTTGTGTATTATTGATTATGGTTTGTATCCTGTTAATGCTGTATATTAGGGCCTCTAGCATTGATCCTATTTTTTCTTCTATGAACTTTATAGTTTTTGGCTGTAGATTTAGGTCTTTGATCTATTTTGAAGTAGTTTTTGTATACAGTGTGAGGTATGGGTCATCTTTCATTTTTTTGCAGATGGATATCCAGTTTTGCCAGCACCATTTGTTAAAAAGACTGTCTTATCCCCCATTTATGGACTTTGGGCCCTAGTACAAAGATCAGGTGACTGTAGGTGGATAGATTTACACCTAGGTTCTCAATTCTGTTCCATTGGTCAATGTATCTGTCATTGTACCAGTACCAGGCTGTTTTGACTACCTTAGCTGTATAGTAGGTTCTGAGGTCAGGTAGTGCAAGTCCTCCTACGTTATTCTTCTTCAATAGTGCTTTATTTACCTGGGGCTTCTTCCCTTTCTGTATAAAGTTAATGATTAGTTTTTCCATCTCTTTAAAGACTGTTGTTGGTATTTTGCTAGGGATTGCATTGGATTTTTAAATTGCTTTGGGCAGAATTGTCATTTTCACACTGTTTGCATCTACCTATCCATGAGCATGGTATGTTTTTCCATTTATGGAGATCCGTTTGGGTTTCTTGCGGTAGTGTTTTGTAGTTTTCTTGTATAGGTCTTTTACATCCCTGGTTAGATTTATTCCAAAGTATTTTATTTTTTTAGAGACTATTATAAACGGTAATTTTTTCCTGATTTCCTTGTCATTGTTCTCTTTATTGGTGTATAGGAATCCAACTGATTTTTGTATGTTTATCTTGTATCCTGCTACTCTGCTGAATCTATTAGTTCCAGTAGTTTTCTCGTGGCATCTTTAGGGTTTTCTATGTATAGTACCTTATATCCACAAACGGGGACAGTTTAACTTCTTCATTACTAATTTGGATGCCCTTTATTTCTTTTTCTTGCCTTATTGCTTGAGCTAGGACTTCCAGCATGATGCTAAATAGGAGTGGAGATAAAGGGCATCCTTGTCCTGTTCCTGTTCTCAAGGGGAATGTTTTCAGCCTCTTTCCATTAAGAATGATGTTGGCTGTTGGTTTTTCATAGATGCTCTTTATTATGTTGAAAAATTTCCCTTCTATACCTATTTTATTAAGAGTTTTTATCAGGAATGGGTGTTGGACTTTGTCGAATGCCTTTTCTGTGTCAATTCAAATGATCATGTGATTCTTTTCTTTCCTTTTATTTATGTGGTGGATTACATCGATGGATTTCCTAATGTTGAACCATCCTTGCATACCTGGTATGAATCGTACTTGATCGTAGTGTATTATTTTTTTGATATGATGCTGAATTCTATTGGCTAGAATTTTGTTGAGAATTTTTGTATCTATATTCACAAGAGATATTGGTCTGTAATTTTCTTTTTTTGTGGTGTCTTTGCCTGGTTTTGGTAACAGGGCTACCCTGGATTCATAGAATTAACTCAGAAGTGTTGCTTCCTTTTCTGTGTTCTGAAATAGTTTGAGTAGTACTGGTACAA